GTAAGGAAAAAAATTAATCAAAAACTTTTTGTTAGCCGTATAAAATGTACAAGTTTTGCAGTATAATTACAATATTTCCTGAAAACCGTATAGGGTCCGTACTGAAATAGAAAGAATAAAAACAGCCGTTAATTTTTACTTTTTTTAATATTATTACAATTTTTGCAGGTCACCAAAATGATTTTTTTTTTCAATTGCGAATTTTGCAGGACTTCAAAAAGTACATTTATACAGTTGGGGACAAAAAATTCTGCTGGAAACTAAAAAATTAAAATATTTTGAAAGTGTTAAAATCTAAAAATGGAACACTTTTAAGTATTTTAAAACCAGCAAGGACTTTTTTTAGGTTCTGAAAAACAATTTCGTGAATTAAGGACATTTTTAAGGATTTTAATAACAATTTCGTGAATTAAGGACATTTTTAAGGATTTTAATAAATTCGTACGAACCCTTTCGATAAATATTCATAGAACAATTTAATGTAGACAGAAGTAATTAGTTTACGCAGATGCGCGAATTTACAATGGTTGGCATTTTTGTTGTTGTCAATTTTAAAAATCATTTTTAATCATTGGAGAAGCTTTTATTTTATTATGTTGTCAGCCTTTGTTGCAAGCTCCAAACGCAATATTTNTACAAGTTTTATATAATGTTCTCTCTAATTTCTCATATAGTTTTTCTCGAATTAAGTTTTTCTTAAGTGTGTTTTTCTTTCTCCAGAAATAATGCGAGGGATCTTAAAACAGATGTTCAATCCAACATTGAAAGCCTGGAACGAAAGGCTGCAAAACCAGATTTTTTTAGAACTTCGCCAGTCCTATGGAGTGAATAAACAACGAGGCCGTAAGCAACAAAGTTGAAAGTGAAAGTTCCATCCCTAGTATTGAGAAAGTGAAAGTTCCATCCCTAGTATTGAGTAAGTGAAAGTTCCATCCTAGTTTTTTGAATTTATGTTTATCGCTTGCATCCACATTCCTTCCAGCATATACTGTTTAGTAACGTGGAAATTAACTCATTTCCCAAAATTGAAGGCCTTATACGGTCCCTGGTCAAATTATTATCCGTTCGTATATCAATGAGTTAAATTTGACGATATATAATATAAATTAGACGATATATTATGTAAATATAGAATATTTATTATATTAGTATATTATAATAATTAGACCAAATGATTAGTCGCACTGCAATATTTTTCATTTAAACATATATGTAATAGGCTTTTATTCGGAATTTTTATATACTTCCTATTTGTATTTATTTTTTAACGTATTGCATTTCATTGTTAACTAGTTGATACACGAACGTAAACTAGTGCAAACCGGTTTCAGTGTAGTAAAAACAATAAAGCTGTATAGTATCATTTGATGATTAAGATTTCACATAGAATCTTATAGTACGTCTAATAATTTGGCCAGGTGCACTGTATTAAATAAATCACTTATTAGGAAATGTAGTGAGAACACCAGTTTGTGGTAAAAATCATATTTGAACAAACCAACTTCAAAGTGTTCTTTTAAAAACAAAGCACCCTGAAAAATGTTTCAAATAAGTAAAACATGGCCGGAGCTAAAAATAAGCAAAAATTTTCAAATGGCAACAATATGTTAAAAAAATAAAACGTTCATTAAAATCGAAATTTTTAAAAAAAATGTCGAAAGCACAAACGTATTAAATAGAATTATATGCATATAAAAACAGATATATGTAAAACAGGCATAATAAAGATTATACAAATTAAAAACATCATTTTTTCTAAATTATTGAACCATATCTTTTCCTATAGAATCATTAAAGCTGTTTAACGAAACTATTTTTTATCACGTAAAATAAACTAAAGCACAATTTGCTTAGTTAAGTGTACTTAGTTGGTGTAAATCTTTAATTTCATACTACGAGTACATCATCTTCCTAAAAAATTGAATCTTTAAAGAAAAATTAAATTTTTGTATTAAGAAATTAATTTATAATTTTAATTTAATTTAAAATGAAATTAATTTGTAATTTTTACGTACTTTGTGTAAATATTTAATTTTATTCTACGAGTACATCATCTTCCTAAAAAATTGAATCTTTAAAGAAAAATTAAATTACAATTTTTTAAATAATTGAAAATTTTAATGAACGCAAACAAAGCAGAAGAGAAAGAAATACCTTTTTAAATGTAAAAAAAAATATTTAAAACGAAATCTTTTTTTCGGATCTTTCATATTAAAATTTTGTACCTTTATCAATGTCGGCATAGAAAAAGTTAGTCAAAAGTGAACCAAACTTAACTTTTAACAGTTATGTCACACATAAAATTAATTATAAAATTTATTATAATTTTGCAAGTCCTCGTAAAACTAATATACTAATAATTCATTTTATAAGTTCTCATTTATTTTATATGTCATTATATAAGTCCTCGATTCAATTCATAATTCCTTTTATAAGTCCCCGTAAAACTAATAATTCATTTTATAAGACCTCATTCATTTTATAAGTCATTATATAAGCAGAGATGCCAACTGCTCCGGAAGAGTCATAAACGGTAAACAACTACAAACTAAAGTTTGACTAATTTTGCTTACTTTTTGAACGGTATAGCACGATTTAACTATAACAAAGTGGCGAATTATATTAGCTTTCGAATTATTTAGAAATAGTGGTGGATAAAAAACCTAATAAAAATTGAATTTTTTAAACCAAGAATCATACAATAATAAACTACCACTCGAAAAATATTTACTTGCTCTCCGGAGCAAGTTGGCATCTCTGTATAAGTCCTCAATTCAATTTATAATTCATTTTATAAGTCCTCGTAAAACTAACAATTCATTAAATAACTCCTTGATTCAATTTATAATTCATCGATTCCATTTATAATTCATTTTATAAGTACTCGATTCAATTTATAAGTCCTCGTAAAACTAATATATTAATACAGTACAGAACCCGTTATCCAGAAATCAGAAAACCGGAAAACCAAAAAACCGGAACGAAATTTGACAGATTTTCGAGCCATTTTTAAAAAGAAAATTTTTCTTCCTCATAAGATTTTAGGATTTTTTTTTTCTTTTTTGAAAGATATTTACCTTACCATCATTTTGGAAATAATCATTAGTGTATTCCTTCATCGTTTTTTCTTCTTTTTAAGATTATTTCCAAAAAAACATTTTTTTTTGTTGGGTTTAACAATAAACGAACGGCTTTTTGTAGTGATTCAGAAAACCGGAAAAATCAGTTATCCGGAATAGCGATGGTCCCGATCGTTCCGGATAATCGGTTCCCTACTGTAATTCATTTTATAAGTCATCATTCATTTTATATGTCATTATATAAGTCCTAGATTCAATTTGTAATTCATTTTATAAGTCCTCTAATCAATTTATAATTCATTTTATAAGTCCTCGTAAAACAGCCTTAAAGATGCAGTACATAACAAGAGCATAATCGCCGGTATAATAACTTTAAAAAAATGGTTTTAATCACTTTTGAAGACTGACGAAGCAAAGGCTTTTGTGTGGATCTAGTCTTTAATATATGTCCTGGTTTTTTGCATAGGTTGTACTTTGTTTAGAGCCTGTGCTGTGCTATAAAACGAGTTGAAAAACAAATGGTGCAAAACACTACGGAGTGAATCACTTGAGGAGATGTCCTGCGTGTGTATAAGCATTATCTTCCTACATATTTCATGCTAGAATAAAAAATTAACTCATATACGCAGTTTTTATGTAAAAAGTTCCCTAAGCATTCGTTCATTTTCTTGCACACAAGGTTTTACATAAATAACTAGAAATCACATACAAATTCACTTTGACTAATCATGTACAAACAGTAAAACTAAATTTACAAACGTGCCTTTTTGTTGTTGTTGTTAAACTAATAGATACACACGAACATTTTTTTGAAGGGCGTTTTCAGTATAAAATGGAGTTTCAGCTGCACTTCAAAGTTTCTTCTTCTTGCTTTAAATGTTGAGCATAATAAAATGCAATTTATTTTCTTCTTTCGTCTAATTTTTTATCGTGAAAAAGGTCGATGCAAATGAAGTGACGTATCTCTATTAAAAACATTTTAAACTAAAAACTTATAAACATAAAAACTTATTTCATTTTCAATAAATTAAACAAGCAGAAAACGAACAAAGAATAGAGATGTCCAAGCCAAAGGCTGAGCTATATCACTTGACTAGTATAATTCAATCAAGTGCCGTAATTAATGGCAACTAGTCGTATACAATATTCCTATTGGACAATTCCAACAGAAACGTATTCCTATTGGTTGAAACTAGTATCTGATAATTGATGAATTTTCAGTAGGCAGGTAAGTGAAGAGACGTCAGCTTAGGCATCTCTATTCAGACTGAACAATAGAACGCACACACAACCAAGTTAAGATTAAGAGTTAACCACTCAAAAAGTAGAAGAGTTGTTTTGATAACGTATCAATAAAGTGTTTACCATTATGAATGTGAATTCTCAATCAGTAATGAGAATATTTATGTTGTAAGGTAACTAAATCATCCAGTTCTTTGCAAACACCAGTCCTCATTTTACACTCCGCCAAGCTAAATGTAAAAGTCTTCAGTATTTTCTAATTAGCCTAACACATTTCAGCCTTATTTCAATGAGCTCATATATTCATAGTCTTATTTCAGTGAACCCATATGTTCATTAGGCTTACTGCTGTGAGCCCATATACTTTTAGGCTAAATACATAATTTATTGCTCCATTAGTGCAATTTGTTTTTGGTAGTTTTCAATAAGCTGAGAGTACGGAAAAGCTATTTCAAATAGCCTTATTTAATGTATTATAAGCCTAAGCAAATTCAGCTGACACAGCTCGTAATTAGCCTACATGGATAATTGCAATGAGCCTAAAAATATCAGGTAGATTAGAAAATACTGAGGATTTTTATAATTAGCCTGGCACATTGTAAAATGCCGATGATGTTAGTGGATTTTTCAGTAAGCCAACTACGCATATGTTAATCTAAACACATCTGATAAAAAAAATTTATAACAGACATAGGTATTTTAGGTTATGTGTGAATGGTTGAGATCAATAATATGGGATATTTCATTTGCACCGACCCATGCTTACTCCAAAAGGGGATTATTGTACCAATCAGGACTGAAGTGGGGGATTATAAGGGAACATTTTTGTTTCTGTATACAGAACATAAAGAAAGCATTTTTAAACATGTCACTCGTATTTTCTTCTTTCACACATACATAAAAGTATCCCTTTTATCTGATTGGTGAAGAGCACTTAATAAAGAGAAGTGTCCAGCGGCGGATGGGATGAATTAAATAAATAAGAGAATCTCATGAATTAAGGTTTACCCCAAGGAACACTTCCAATGAAATTGATTGGAATTCGCTTCACCTTTTTAACACCAGAAGCACACACTCTTCTTCGACTCGGCCAAGGAACAGAGCCCACACAAAGGTATCGAGTTCGAACACATTGCGAGTCAATTATCTCGTGAGTTTTCTATTTATATGCACGCACAAAATGTGGAGGGAAAAAAAACGAAAGTAAGAGAGAGAAAGCAATAGACGCTATGCTAAGTATTTTGACATTCAATTGACTGGTTGACACACCTTCGAGATTGTATATTTTGCCTTTTTTTTTGAATAAGTAAATCCCCAAAACTCTTTTTTTTTTTAACTGATACGTTTTACCCGGTTTTTCTTTATTTTTTAAAAATCACGCCCTTCCATAGTTGGGAAAATATTTTAAATAAGGTTGACTAGAATCTTTTAATCTTCTTCGCTTTCTCCAGGTCCATACATGTCTGCTAGTTTTTGAAAGCGAGGACCCCATCCGTTGAGGTAGTCGAAATCTTGCTCGTTATCCTCTGTACCCGAAGCCAGAGAGCTAAGGGAACCAGCAGTACTACCACAACCCTCGTAAGCGTAGTTTCTGAGATCGTCGAAGGGAGGGGCGTTTGGATCGTTGTCTGCTTTGTCCAAATGATCTCGGATGAAGTCTCCTACCCCGTCCGTTCCAGGAGGCACTGCAACACAACAACAACAATCAATGCATCTCATAAACAAGAAATAAAACATATATTGTTAACACACAATGATGATTGGCCCAAAACGTTTGCGTATTACTCTGCCAAAGGTTCTTCGCAAAGAACCACACATTTAGAGCCATTATAGAGCAGAAATAAGACATTTTCTCACCTGCTATTGTCTAGTAGTAGCATTTTTAATACTGGCCACCTTTTCAAAAATTGAAAATTCTCAACTATTTAAAAAAAAACTAACATAAAGCATTTCTCAAAATATGGTTAACACTACTGGGTTTACTTCTAACCACCTGATTCTTTTTCTAAAAGTTCCCTTGAAATTTTGAACCAGCTACTGGGTTCATTTCAACCCACCTGATTCTCTTTCTAAAAATCCCCGTGAAATTTTGAACCAGCTACTGGGTTCATTTCTACACACCTGATTCTCTTTCTGAAAGTCCCCTTTAAATTTTGAACCAGCTACTGGGTTAATTTCTACCCATCTGATTCTCTTTCTCAAAGTCCCCTTGAAATTTTGAACCAGCTACTGGGTTCATTTCTACCCACCTGATTCTCTTTCTCAAAGTCCCCTTGAAATTTCAAACAAGTTACTGGGTTCATTTCTACCCACCTGATTCTCTTTTTAAACGTTCCCTTTAAATTTTGAACTAGCTACTTGGTTTATTTATACCCATCTGATTCTCTTTCTAAAAGTCTCCTTGAGATTTTGAACCAGCGTAAAATATCCATTACGAGAATGATTACAGTCTTCCTGTGTAATAACTAATACGAGAAGTTGAAATAACGTGTTTTGGAGCGAATGGGGTACATTTTTGGCAAAAGTGGTGATTAACAAACAAATTTAAAATCGCCATTTCTTTTATATTTGGTTGTCCTGTGGTTAATGGTGAACGACAGTTTTGCCCTATAGGTGCTACTAGAATGTCTGGTGAATACATTGTTAGAAAGTTTGAAGAACGCTAGACAATGGAATATCGTGCACATCTGCTGCAATGTTAACCATGATATAGTACAAATTAAAGTAACTTAAAACTTTATTGTAAGAGTACTAAAGATTCAAATTAACCCTTAAGGTTTTTCTGTGAGTTTGCACTTGTTGAAAGAACCGATGTTATGATTGAATGCCAAACCGATTTTTCTGAAAGTGTAGATTATAATTGTCAAAAAATATCATAATGCGAAAATAGTTTTGATAAATTTTTTAACAAAGCTTTTAACCATTTGGCTTAAGCCGTTCTTATTATTTTATTTTTAAAAAGAATATTTTTTTCTATTATGTTAACTATTTATTATATTTGCATTTTTCTAACAAAAAAGAAGTTTTAAAATACAGAAATATGCTCCCAAAAGGACTTTTGATTCTATTCGAGCTCTAAGCTAACTCGTATTCCTCGCGACACTATCGTATTTCAGTAACTATCAGCAAGAAGGTCTTATTAGGTTCAAAATATTTAGTATGGTACATAGTCGAACCAATTTTTCGTAAAGTGTATTCCATAATATCAATAGAATAGAACATACTTATCCCTAAGGATTCGATTCTATAAGAAAGGGTGCTATTTATGTGAGTGTGTTACATAAATTTTACAGGTTAAATAAAATAATTAAAATGAGTTGAATATACACATTGCATGGAGTTAAAAATATGTTTAATAACATTACTATCTGAAAATTATAAAAAACTTTTTTTTAAAAGTATTTTTAAAATAATTTCACATTCTTTTTAAACGGAATAAAATTTTAAATCATGATGAACCACGTTATCGTTCAAATCTTCTACAATCTTAATATGGTTTCAAGTTCAACCATATTATTGTTTCTTAATCTTGATTAAATGATATTATGGTTGAACTTGACATGAAACAATATTCCACTTAACTTGCTTCAAATTTACACCGTATTATGGTTCAAATTACCGATATTATGGTTCAACGTCGAATACATATGAAATAGAATATGAGGATGGTATCTTACGTTGCCTTTGTCGATTATCTTTAATGATGGGTTTTTCGGGCTTAGCACCGAGAGGCGTTCCCGTAGCGGCGTCTATGGGAATGCGTAGAGGGGTGATGTCGTAGGCGTTCATATCGTCTTCTCCACCCCCTTCATCGTCGTAACTGATGATGTTCTCCCTCACATCATCATCAACATCCCCGTGACCGTACTTCTGGTTGGGTCTCCTGTTTCGAGTATAGGCCACAATCACCAGAACCAAAACTGCAATGGAACAAAATAAATATTAGGATTTTATCGTGTTATGTTATATTGTATAATATTATGATTTTATTGCTTTTATGTTGTCAGTAAAAGTACCCAAATTTTTACTGGCAAATAAATATTTTTTTAATTTTAAAACATAGGATGCGTTGAAATACACAATGTGAATCAGGTGGAACTTCTAATTCGGTTTGAATGTTTATGTTTGCCTCATAAGTAAGGCCATCTCCAAAGCAAGGAAAGAGGTTCAAATCTTCAGGGGATAGAGCGTTCGCCTTCCAATGAGGTGAACCGGGTTGGAATCCCAGCGATGGCTGATCGATACGAATTCCGCAGCTGGCTCGCACCGACCACAGGGTTAACGTAAAATATCCTCTGTGTTAGACGGAGCATGGGTTAGAGTCTCCTCGCTGTCAGGCTAACAGTGGGAGGGTTTCGTGGTTTTCCTCTCCATGTAACTCGCATGCGGGTTAGCTCCACAAAGGCGAATTTCTCCCAAAGCCTGATCCAGGGGTTCCCTTGCTTTCTGGGTTGGATTCAAGATTACAGGGTTACTGAGTTGAACATTGGTAGTCGTAAACCCGAAATTGAGTCGGCTGTTCACCGACGGTTATAAAAATTACATAACATCTGCTCTGTGTATGTTTAAGAAAGGGAAAAAGCACTTGGCACACTTAAGAACCAGTTTATTTTCCAATTCAGAGCAAAGATAATGCCTTTATGAGGAAAATACTTAAGTTTTGATTTTAAGCTCGATTAACAGTTATCTCTTATAGGTACGACCTATACACACGAAATGAAAATTTGACCAGTTGTTCATTCTATCAGTTTTACTCTATAATTTATGCACCCTTTTCATGTCGATATGCATTTATACAGTGTCGGAAATAATAAAACTTTACATATTTTGTAAAAAAAGTGATTTGAATAATTTTTAATATTTTTATGTTCTCCAAAATTTGTCAGTATTTTCTTTCTTGATATTCAAGTGTCTCGTATGCGTAAATTTATGCTATAAATTTGGTTTTAAATACTTAAAAATAAAAAACTTTGCTTTTAAAGTTCTACTACCTCTTTAGATGTTACTTCAAATAAAAAAAAATTGCTTTAGATAATTTTTCCAAGTGCTAAAATTTTATGTTTAGTAAAAATCTTATTCCGTGCAATAAGTAACCGTATCTCAATTTAGTTTGTGTGCTAGTGCCAGAAAAAAAGAAACTATTCTGTTGCAGCTGTATTAAATATGTCAGTACTGTAAGCTTTACGATTAATCGTATATTTCTTTTTGCAACTAATCCTCTATGGATTTGCCTAAATATGTACGAGTTAAATAGCTAAACTTTCTATAAAAAGTAAAACAAAGATAAACGAAGCATTTTTTACAAATGAATTTTTCTATCTAGAGTAAGGCAACAATATAGTAGACCGCTCCGAAAAATAGTTCAACAATTCATGGAGAGATGGCGCCACACATTCTCCACAAAATAGCAAGTCACGCCGCAATGGTTGCAAAAGTAAAATAAACCTTATTTATTGTTCAAATTATTTTAAGTCCTCTAAGTAAAGAAAACGAGTAACTTCCTAGGAAAAATAACGAGTAACTTCCGATGAAAAATAACGTAAGCACAAAATTAATTTAAAATAATCAAATTTTCGAAGAAAAAAAAATTATAGTGTAAATTGTCTAGCTGCAGTGTTCCCTTACGCCAACTTATACTTTGATTTTATTGTATTCAATAATTGTTTTTACCAAATATAAATAATTATATAATACAAATGTAAACAATTTATTTTTATTTGTATTCAATAATTATATATCTTACGTCATCGTATTTGATATTTATCTTTGACAATCATCGCAATTTTATCGCATTTTATAATGATAGCATTATTAAAGTATTCCATAATTATCGTTGTCAGCAACACTTTCATCATATTTGATATTTATCGTTATCTACAAACATCGCGATTTTATTGAATTTAATAATTATCGCGATTATTCATCGCGGTTGCATTTCATTTTTAAGGCGATATTAACTTCTTCTATTATCGATCCTTATAGTAAAAGGTAGTATTCATATAGAATGCTTTTTAAAAATATTTTTTTTTCGCGATGTTTGAAAAAATATTATTATCGTCACCGAATTTTTTTATTTAGTAAAACGTACTATTTTATATAAAATGTTATTGCTATGTCTATTAAGTTTAAACCGTTTAAATGTTAAAGTTTAAACTGTTAAAATAAACAGCTATTAAGGTATTCAATAATTATCGTTGTCAGCATCAGTTTCGTCGTATTTGATATTTATCGTTGTCTACAAACATCGCGATTCTATTGAATTTAATAATTATCGCGACATTATTGCATTTCATTTTCAAGGCGATACTTCTTCGATTAACGATCTTTATAGTAAAAGATAGTATTCCTATAGAATGCTTTTTAAAAATATTTTTTTCGCGATGTTTAAAAAAATATTGTTATCGTCATCGAACTCTTTTATTTAGTAATACGTACTATTTTATATAAAATGTTATTGCTGTGTCCATTAAGTTTTAACCGTTAAAATAAACCGTTATTAAGTTATTCAATAACTATCGTTGTCAGTAATACTGACATCATATTTAATATTTATCGTTGTCTACAAACATTGCGATTTTATTGAATTTAATAATTATCGCGATATTATTGCATTTCATTTTCAAGGCGATACCTCTTCTATTATCCATCTTTATCGTAAAAGATAGTATTCCTACAGAATGCTTTTTAAAAATTTTTTTTTCGCGATGTTTAAAAAAATGTTATTATCTTCACCGAACTCTTTTATTTAGTAATACGTACTATTTTATATAAAATGTTATTGCTGTGTCCATTAAGTTTTAACCGTTAAAATAAACCGTTATTAAGTTATTCAATAACTATCGTTGTCAGTAATACTGGCATCATCATATTTAATATTTATCGTTCTCTATAAACATCGCGATTTTATTGAATTTAATAATCATCGCGATATTATTGCATTTCATTTTCAAGGCGATACTTCTTCGATTAACGATCTTTATAGTAAAAGATAGTATTCCTATAGAATGCTTTTTAAAAATATTTTTTTCGCGATGTTTAAAAAAATATTGTTATCGTCATCGAACTCTTTTATTTAGTAATACGTACTATTTTATATAAAATGTTTTTGTTGTGTCGAGTAAGCTAAGATTTCCAATTCCAACATAATGGAATATGTGTGTGTGCATTGCATTCTAAATAGTAGTAAGAAATTTACATGCGGATGATGGATTGCCTTTCATAATAATTGCTATTCTGCTTCAGAAGCTCTCAAATCTGTTTACGTGTGTTCGATACAAGGGAAATGTATAATGTAATGGAAACATTTAAAGTATCTTCAATAAATCCCGAATGTAGATCAAGAGATAGTTTAAATCTGACAACGAACTAGAGTTACTACTTACTTTAGATAAAACATTAGAGCTGTAAGCGAATGCGATTGCAGGCTTGTTTATAAAACATGTGAACTTCTGGAGATAATACTAAAATGCTTTTGTATGAGTTTATATACAGTCCCTGGGAAAATTATCAGACGCACTATAAGATTTTATGCAAAATTTTAATTATCAGGTGATACTATAGGGGAGAGTGGGGTCAATTGTAACATTTTTTACTTAACTATTTTTAACTAACAAAAAATCCAATATATTATTAGTATTAATTGACAGACGAGTAAAGTAGACTATCCTCTACTAGAAAAA